TGAAAAGCACAGGTTACAAAACAGTGTGCACAGTACAACTCTAGTTACATTAAAAATGATCAATATATTAACAGACTGGGAAAAAAAATATACCTTAATGTTAACTGTAGTATATTTGAGTTGTGGCTTTACAGAGAATTTAAATTTTCCTTTTTCTACTTTTTTGCATCTCTCAAATTTTCTACAGTGCATATGAACTTAGTTGGTAATAAAATTTTTAAAAAGTTAAATTTTTAATGAATGATTACCTTAGTCACCAAAACAATGTCGGTCTTCTCTCCTGATTCTATCAGGTGCAAGAGTTTAAGGAAGAAGGAAGGAGAGAGGAGGTGGGCTTGGGCTGCCGTGGATGCTCTACCTGTGGCGTTTGGGCCTCTAATTGCTTTCTAGAGGAGCGTTTATCAGGAAGAAGTGCACTGGGATTTGTTCCTGGTCCAGAGAATCCAAGGCCTACAGCAGGGAGTGGCTGAGAGCTCTGGCTCACGGGTAAGCCTGGCTCTGCTCCTTTCTATTTGTAAGGACTTGGGAAGTTGTTTAGCCTCTGTAAGGCTCAGCATCCTCATCTGCAAGATGATGTGGCTCCCTCATGGGGTTGTAGAGAGCATAAAATGAGATAGCGTTGCATCAGTCGCTTAGCAGCGTTATGGGCTCACAGTAAGTAGTCGTGGTGTTTTTTATTATTACTCTTAGGCAACAGACATAAATCCTCCATATGTACTCCACAAATCCTCCATTTCGGTCTGCCGTTCCAGGAGCGCATTGTCCATATCCTGGCCTCCACTATTTTAGTTTACACCTGACATGTCTTCCTGTATCTCTATTAATTCCCAAAGTAGTTAAGTCAGTGCTTCTCAAACTGTAATGCCCACAGGAATCACCTGTGGGTCTTGTTAAAAATGTAGATTCTGACGCTATAGGTCTGGATTGGCATCTCAGATTTGGAATTTTTAACAAGCTCCATGTGAGATCAATGTTGCGGTCCAAAGACCACTTATAGTAGCAAGGACTAGGATGGCCCGGCTCAAATCCAATGTCTGCTTGATATCACCTCCAGTGTCCCTAGCCAGAACGGTCCTCTCCTTCTTTGGCTCTCAAAGCACGTCAGTTATACTCCTAATTTAGCACTTATCACACTCAGCCTGCTTTGGTGTACTGCTGTACGTGATTCTGTTTGCTCCTAACTGAGCTCCTGACAGCAGACTGTGTGTTGTTCAACCCTGAAAGCTGGCAGCACAGCACAGTAATGTGGATGGAATGTTCAACCAATATCTGTCACATTATGGAACTGGGTGACAAAAGATGAAATGACACCTTAAAATAAAGTTGTGTTTTCTGTAAGTATTCACTCCAAAATTATCAACATGAATCAAATTAATTAATGGAAATAGTGGAAGAGAGTAATGATGTGAATAATTCCAAGTGGCAAATATTTGATTGTGATATTTCCTTTCTTTTTAAAATACATTACACTTTATAAAATGCAAGAAGGGATGATGTACTGGATGGGATGACAAATCCAATCTGGGATGATGCATTTTCCATAGATAATCACATAAATGGGTAACAATTTGATTTTCAAACTCTGAATCTCTTGGTCCATGGTTTACAATCAGCCTCCAAGTGGGCCAGAGGCCAAAGTTGGGTGACCCTGCATTCAGGCTGGACATGTAATTAGTGGTCTTTGGGGTAACATGGACTCACTTCTGTTGAGAGTAAATAGGGAAAAACATTGTGAGAAACGAGAAAGGTGCAGTGGAGGTCTGTATTAGAGGAGGTCGTCCAGAGGACGTGACTGCCGGTTGACATGTGAACTGGACTTGAGTGATCAGAGACTCCTCACCTCCTCTCCGGTCCTTGGGATGTACCTGAATGTACATTCTGCCCACTGTTCCCACAGTGGGAGCCATTTCTTTTTGTTTTTTTTTGGTGAGGAAGATTGGCCTCGAGCTAACATCCATTACCAACCCTCCTCTTTTTGCTTGAGGACGATTGTTGCTGAGCTAACGTCTGTGCCAACCTTCCTCTGTTTTGTCTATGGGATGCTGCCACAGCATGGCCTGATGCATTCTGTGCCGGTCTGCACCTTGGATCCAAACCTGGCAACCCCAGATCACTGAAGCAGGGCATGCGAACTTAACCACTATACCACCGGGCTGGCCCATGGGAGGCATTTTCAAGGACTCAAACTTGAGAGAGCAATGTGTTCTGAGACCATCTGGGTGGTATATGTGACTGAACCTAGTTAAGGCCTCCATAGAAACCTTTAAGATTCTGACGGGCAGGTGCGGAGTTCTACTCATCTTCTGGCCTCCCAAGGTAAACTTCACGTCGAAGTTCCCTTGCTTATCACACCTGCCACCTACCAGCCTGGAGGGGTCTGCCTCTTTCTTCAGTCTCTCTCCTTGTACGGGGCCAATCTGTGAACCAGCAGTCAGCCCTCTCTGGGTCTTTCCTGGTGGTGGGATCACAGGACAATCGCCCCGCCTGACTCTGGAGTCTGTTTGGCCCTGCCACGGCTCCCTATTGCCTAATTCTCACTCTCCTTCTCTGGAGCAAATAGCATTTCATGGCAGGAGAACTTTCAATTTTCTTTTAAAAATCCAGTCAATCTAAATAGAAGAGAAACTCCATTTTCAGTAACCCTTTACTCATCTGCCACTTATGTCCTTAGGGAAGCTTAAAGAATTTCCAGCAGTACACCACAGAGCAGATCGTCTGATATATTGCCAAACTTTTTCAACACTTGTCTCCAAATCCCCACTACAGCTACGACTTTCTTATAAAGATATCATTTGGGGAAACTTAGCAACTATTGTTTTCCTGAAGTGGTCCCAGTGGGGATGAGGGCTATGCCTAACCCTTTTAAAATCTAGTTTCTGTATCTTATGCCTGGTGTCCAGCATTACAGAGTAAACAGTATTTTGGAAAGACTGACAGGGTCAGCTGCTCTGGGAATGTGACCGGTGACCTCCTGCTGGATTACCGTCCTGCAGGCAGCTTCCAAGTCAGTTGAAAGGTAAGCATTCTTTCTGTATAAGTCCAGACTGCTTTGGAATATGTTTCAATTTCAACTGATAAAACGGAAAATATTTCCTGGGCATACTGTCTCACAGGGCACGGAACTGTTACTTTGGGGGCAAAGCGATTTGTCATGTCAACACAACCACAACAGCTAAGCTGCTGGATTTAGGGGAGCAGAGAGCTAGAGCGGTTGCTTTGATTAAGCTGTAACAGGAAAACTGAAATCCAGAACTTTCTTTCTGAAATTAGAAACATGCATTGTAATTCTCATATTCAAAAAATGAAACCCTTCGTTTCTGAGTCCTTTTTCCTGAAATCTTGTCAGTTTAACTTGGCAATTGTCTTCACTCCTGAAACAGCAATGGTGTGAGGGTTTGCGTGTGTGTGTGTGTGTGAGGGAGAGACAGAGAGATACTCACAATTAGGAAATGTATCTACTATTCAAAGGGCTTGGAAATATATCAGATGTTAGCAAATGCAAGAGCAAAAAACTGTTCAACCCAGTCCCTCTGTGATGCCACCATGAAGCGAGGAAAATATCTCATAAGTCTCTTGAAAACTATAGATGCTGAGTAGAGAATAGTTGAGAAAATGGAACACGCTGGACTTGGCTCTGCGACTGGTGTTAATCAGCTTGTATGTTACAGACGCTGGAGGTATGGATTAAGTTTTGTATCAGAATCCTTGTTATTTACAAATTACTATCAATGGTGATGATTTTTTTAAAAAAACTCACATTTTATTTTTCAGTAAGTTTTGATGAAAGAATTGCATTTTTCAGATGCACCCATTCCGAAAGAGAACATTTTTCAAACTTCTCACAGCTCTCACGTGATTCAAATATTTTCTAGTGCTCCAAACAAATGCCCTACCTTCAAGAAGTGATCTTATAAAGAAAATGCTCCTTCCCTTACATTGACTAAAATGTCTTTTCTGATGTCATTTTAAAAATATGGCTGAGAACCAAAATAAGGGGACAAATAGTATCAGAAAAAGTAAAAATATCATATTCCAGTAAAAAGGTTTATGTTTCATTGAAGAGTGGTAATTACAAAGGTACAAATTTGTTAAGCTGTCATTAACGTAATTATCATATACTGTTATTTTGGGGTTTGCTTTTGTGTCCACTTGGCAGCTTCAACTTAGAAAAAATGTTTATTACATAGTGACAAATTCAACTTTAAGAAATTCCTCTGTAGACATTATCTTTTTACAAGCTGTGGGCATGTACACAACTCTTAGTATCCCATGCATCTGGCCTGCAGAAGCCATAAGGGATGCTTAAAAATGGTGATGGGGAGAGGTTAAAAGTCTTACAGTACGTGCCTATATGCCAGATGCACAGACAGAGGACAAGGTAAGAGTTCGTGGGATTTTCCAGAAGGAGAGTCCACAGCTACAGCTTGAGAGTTCGCAGTTGCCAGGTAGGCATGCTGGGAAAATCAAAAAATTCTGGGAATCACTATCTACATTTTGTTCTTCACAGCCACCCTCCCTCCCCATTTGAACTTGAAACAAACAGAGCCTTCTAGAGACATAGGCTTAAATTTTGAACTAAGAGCAACACTAATAGGTCAAAGGTTAGCTGTTTGGGAGAGATGAGTTCTTGGGGCTAGATCTGAGCTAGATTTGCACTTGGCTCTTGGGTAGCATAGGAAACACAGTCCCAGGGGTTCTTGGGACAGGCTGTTGCACCTGCAGGCGCGCACTGACTGTAGTATCCTGGGCCAAATGGGTGTGGGGGTTACATGGGCTTCTGACTTGACCATGGAGAGCGTAAGGGACCCATATCCAGAAGATGCTATGTAGAATGATAAGAAACCCATATAAAAGGCATTCATTGTTTCAGAAGAGGATGTCTGTCTTAATAAAAAGATATTTATTCTTGGAGCATACAATGAGGCAGATCCACAGTTGTCTACACTGTGCTTTGCAGACTGTCATTTTTTTCAAAAGAAAATAGCACTTGTTTTTCATACCTTATGGGTGTCTGTCTGCCTTCTGAGGTTTCAGCAATAGATCATTTATCTGTGCTTTTGTCGTGGAGATGAAAGTCCTTTAAGTGCAGATGTGGGGAAATCACCACCATAAAAACAAAACAAAAACAAAACGTTACATTTAGCCCTCTGACCCAGTAGATGAGCTAATAGCCGCAAACTCCATTTTCCTTCAGTTCTTGAATATAGATAGAAACTATGAGCAGCTAAGATTCCACCCGCTGCTTCTCGCTCACGAGACACATGGTGATGATGCAAAGGACACATGCAAAGAGTGGTGCAAAGGAGTGAGGTGGCAATATCCTGAAGCAAATAGCATTTGCTGAGGGTCATTTTTTCAATTTTGAATGGAATTCTTGCTTGCCTACTGTAGTGCAGATTTTAATTTCCTGTTTGGAGTGACCTGTTGTGCATATTATATTCCTGAAAAAAATCATAGATTTCCAGTTTAGAAAGTAATTATAGCTATTCCTCTATTTTTTTAAATAATAGCTTTATTGAGATGTAATTCCCATGCCATAAAATTCGTTCTTTTTAAGTGAACATAGAATTCAGTGGCTTTTAGTATGTTCAGATTTATGTAGCAATCACTGTCTAATTTCAGAATATTCTCATCATCCCCAAAAGAAACCCTGCACCTGCTAGCAGTCTGTACCCATAGCACTACCCATTCTGCCCTTCCTCTAATATCTGGCAACCACAGATTATCCTTGTTTCTCTGGATTTGCCTATTCTGGACATTTCATATAAATGAATCACTTAATATGTGGCTTTTTATGACCAGCTTCTTTCACTTATAGTTTCAAGGTTCACCCATATTTTTGCCTGTATCAACACTCCGTTCCTTTGTATTGCTGAGTAATGTTCCATGGTATGCATATATCATGTTTGTTTCACCATGCACGTGTTGATAGACGTTTGTGTTATTTCCCCTTTTGGACTATTATGAATAGTGCTATCATGAACATTTGTGTATGAGTTTTTGTGTGGACGTATGTTTTCCCTCCTCCTGTGTATATACCTAGAAATGGAGTTGCTGGATCATATAGTAAGTCTATGTATAGTTTTGAGGAATGGCCATACTGTTTCCTAAAGTGGCTGCCATACTTTACAATTCCACCAGCAATGTATGAGGGTTTCAATTTCTTCATACCCTCACCAATGCTTGTTATTGTTTGTTTTTTTTTATTCTAGCCATCCTAGTGTGCGTGAAGTGGTATCTCGTTGTTCTGATTTTTCTTCTCTAGTCACAATTTTGTTGAACTTATTTTCATGTGCTTTTTGGCCATTTGTTTGTCTTTTTCTTTGAATGTCTATTCAAATCCTTTGCCCATTTTTAAATTGGGTTATTTGTCTTTTTGTTGTTGAGTTGTAAGAGTTCTTATATATTCTAGACAGTAGTTCCTTATCAGATAAATGATTTGCAAGTGTTTTCTCCCACTCTCAGTTAATTTTTGTGCCTCATTTGTTAGGACTTTGGTGCTATCTTTGACGTAAACTTTTTCTAGATAAATTTCATGTATCCCAGGGAGTTAATAGCACACACTTTTACCGAGAACCTGCTTGATACCAGATGCTGTAAGTTCTTTGCACACATTACCACATTTAATTTTTGTAATAACATTATGAGGTTGGTATCTTCTCTCTATTTAAGGAAAAGAGAACTGAAACTCTGAGAATTAAGTAATTTTATCAGAGTGATCCAACTAGAAAGTGGCAGGATCTGTGAATGAATCCAATTCTTCTTGCTCCCTAAGTCTATTTATTTCTCCTTTATTCTAATGGTTAGTTGTTTAAGATAAATGTCTTGAAAAATCAATATTGTATTCATCTGTAGATTGATTTGTGTTTGATAAATCTGCATTTTATTCCTGTTTCTTACCAAAAACCTTATAAGTAATAAGGTATTAAATGTCTTAAGTCATGACTGTTTGATCTATTTCTCTCTCCCTCCTTTTCACCCTCTTTCGTTCTTTGCTTTTTTCTTTCCGTTCTCACCCTCCTGCCCTTTTTCCTTTACAAGAATTTATTTAGTCTTTACTACGTTTTAAGTGCCTGGAGAAAATGATGAATAAAGCACCATCTGTTAGGAAAGACAAACCACAAATAAGTAGATATGGATAAACTTAAAATAGCATGTGAAATTATGTAATGCCAGAGGTGCTAAGAGCTACGAAGAAGAAAGCAGCAAATGAGTGGCCAGAGAGTGATGGGTTTGCTATTTTAGGTGGGGTCATTAGGGAAGACCTGCATGAAGTGAGAAGGGAGCCACGTGACTATCTGGCGAGAGAGCACGCCTGTCAGAGGAAGGCACATGTTTCCTGTGATTGACAAACAGAAAGGAGACCAGTGTGGCTCAGTCTCGTTTCTGTTTGACCAGCAAGGGGATGAGGGATAGATTTTGCCTGGGCCTAATTTTACCCAAGAAAAGCTCCTGTCCCTAAATCAGATCTAAAATAATTTAAACGTGTCTCTGAGATGGATGGAGTAGGTAGAATTCACCATATAGTGCTGGTGCTATGTACCCACTCTCCTCATTGTGCCTGTGATGAAATGATTTGTTCAGAGGCACTAACGTGCACAGTGGTTAGGAGCTTAGGCTGGGGGACTTGAGTGCTGCTTATTAGCTGTGTAACTGCGTCTTGTTTTTTCAACTCTAAAATGGGCGTATTCGTTTGCTAGGGTGGCCGTAACAAATACCACAGACTAGGTGACTTAAATAACGGAAATATATTCCCTTCCAGTTCTGGAGGCTAGAAGTCCAAGATCAAGGTGTTGGCAGGGTTGGTTTCTTCTGAGGGCCTCTCTCTTTGGCTTGTAGATGACCGCCATCTCCCTCTGTCTTCACATGTCCTCTCTGTGTGGGTCTTTGTCCTAATCTCCTATTCTTGTAAGGACACCAGTCATATTGGTTTGGGGCCCACCATTTTGCCTTAATTGCCCCTTTAAAGACCCTATCTTCAAACACAGTCATATTCTAAGGTGCTGGGGTTAGGACTTCAACAGATGAATTTTGGGGGACATAATTCAGCCCATTATCAATGGGGAAAATAATAGTATTTACCTTCTAGAGTGGTTTTGAGAATTAATTGAGATAATATATAGAAAGCCTTCAAGTGGTTCCCGGCACATGGTGAGTGCTGTTGAGGTGTGCTGTATAAGAGCGTTATCATCCTACATAGATCAAGTCATGCCTACATTGTGAGTTTGTTGAGGGTGGAAATATAGAGGTTGCATCTTTTAATTTTATTATTATTTTTAGTTACTATTTAAAAAAAATTCCACCTGCACCTGGAACAATCTTTGCCCATTATAGGTACATAGCACATGTTAGCTGAATGAAAATTTTTCATCTCTCTCGTTATCACTGCCATATCCCTCTTGTCACTGTTATCCCCTCCTCTCCCAACCAGCTCTGCACCCCACCATTCTTTCTCCTTCTAACAGATCCTGTGTTTCACTTTCAGGCATTAAACTAGTAATAATTAAGTTTCCTTTTGCAGCCACGGCATGCCTTTCTTTTTTCTATAGAGATTTTGGAAGTTCCATTTATATAAAATTTCATCTATTGCCTTGTTCTTGACACATACCAATCTTGCATGCTAATAAACCTTAAGACTTCAATTTTTCAAACTCGTTAGGGCAACAACTAGCATGTTTGATTCCCTTTCTGGGATTCAGAGCCAGAGGGGGAAGCCCCTTTCGCCCATGAGTCTAATACAGCGTTTCTGCATTCGTCTCCTGAAGCAGGGCTGATTTATCTCCTATTAAACATTTCCCTTCTGAAGTCCTCGGCCCTTCCACCAGGTCGTGGAATTAAGCTTGAGAGCAGCTCTGCCTGGCAGAGAACCGGCTGTGATCACTGGAAAGGATGAAGCCTCACACGCTTTTCCTAAAATGTTTTCTTAAGAAATGGAGGAAAAACTGATAGAAAATCAGTTAAGGTCAGAAACAGATGTTAAAGGATGTTTTAAACAGGCTGAGGGATTCAGCGACCATAGAGATCGGTCTTAGCTTACTCTGAAAGCCATTTTTATTTTTTATTGCCATCCACATATCTGGTTGGCTGCAAAAAATGGGGAGAGTTAATTACCATAGAGCTACACAATTAATTTTCTTTAAGGCATATAACAATTTCTAAAGAATTCTGAAAACATTTGTTCCACTGGACAAATGAATTTTGTCTCCTATGTCATAACTTTGTCATCAGTGGAAAAGCCAGGACAGGAACAGAATCAGTTTTTGTGAAAGGAAACAGCACTTTTATTTCACGGTATTTCTGTACCTCATTTGCCAACTTTTCACACAATGAAATTGGCAACAACCCCTTGAATATATGTTGTGTGTTTTAAAAGTTTTAATTAGTTATTCTTTGCTCTTTCTTTTTAAATAATTTAAAAAATTTTTGAGTTACAAAGTAATCCATGAATGTCAGGAATGTGGAGGAACTAGACGGGCTGATTTGTATTTGTTATATGACCATCACATTTGTCCTTTTTAAACTGATTTATTAGATCTCTATTCTAGAGTATATTTTATTCTGCTCCAATGGCTATTAATGAATTCTTTGACAGTGGCTTTTAGTCACATACAATCTTCTTTGGTTCAGGGAACCTAACTTGTTGGAATATTCTCCTGTTGAAGAGTTTGCTTTTATATCTAGTGACATTTATCATTATCTAAGGCCAGCTGCCTGACTTCTCTTCAGCGCTCTGTTTATGGGGTTTGAACATCTATAAATGGAAACACTAGCTAACCAGAAATTATCGCCAGGGCTGTCTGATAGTGTCCTGGGCTCTCGCAACTTGGAAGGTCCTGCAATATCTAACATGTAAGCACGTCAAATCATTTTCTAGACAGAATCTCAATCTCGCATTTTCTGTTTCTCTCTCTCTCATTCTCTTTCAACATGGAATTTGAAAAGCATGAAAAAGGAAGCTTATTACACAAGAATTTAGAGGAGAAGCTGACGGTAAGACTGGAGAGACTTCGCAGGCACAGATTTACCACGTAATTGACAGGGTTGACAAAGCAGCTGTCACAGATGGGAAAAGTTGGACTAGCCAGGCTGTGTTTCCATGTTTTTCTGGTCAACAGCCTTGAAATTAATGAGTTCCATGAGATTTACTGAAAACAATGTAATAAAATTATTAGTGAAATTTCATTACTAGAATGTGGGCAGATTTGATTTAGTTAAATGATGTAGTTTACCTCCATTTTAAAAACCAGAATCCAGTTATTTTGAGCACTTATTGTGATTGCCTCTATACGGGAAGATTATTTTGTTTATTAATATGAAGCTTAGCACATGTTCAAAGTCCGATTCCTTTTAGAGATAGCAGGAATATGTGTTAAAGAGAATATAAGTATTGTAGAATAAGTTGAACTTCTGGTATAAAGATGAAGTTTGCTTTTCAGAAAGTTTTTATTTTTTTTCTTTAAAAGTTATAAAAGTAATTTTACCCTGATTCTAAGAAATTAAATGCAGTGAACCATAGTGGTCACTTATATTTGCTCAAACATAAAATATACTATAACCTTGAGTAGAATATTCTGTCCATGGTTCACCTGATGGGTATAGGAGGGTAATTCCGTTTGTAAATTTACCGTGGCTCTAGAGTTAACATTAGAACAGGGCATGGCTAGTTTTAATTGCAACGCAAGTAGCAAAATAAAACCATATCAATTATAATAAGACCGTGGCTTTTTAAACTCATGAGAATGCATTGTTCTGGATGTCTGAAGTTGAGATTTATGCACTGTTCATGATATTAAAAATTGAAAGATGGAAAAAAGAACCATATTGGATTGAAAACTCTTAAGTGTACTAGAATTTCAAGGTCTTGAAGAAATGTGATGAATAAAATCTAACCTTTTCTTAAAGGATTCAGGTCATCATTTTGAATATCAGCTGTGGACTTCTACTCGAGGTGGTTTGAAAAGCCATGTATTGTTGTAGAAGTAACCAGGGAATTTAAGTCAGAAGATCTGGGTGGGAATTCTCACCCCACTATTTGTAAATGTAGGACTATGGTTTTTTTTTAAGCTTTCTGAGTCTCAGTTAACTCACTTGTAAAATGGGAAGTAGTAACAGCTAATTTGAAGGTGGTCACGAGGATTAAAAACTATGATGTATAAGATGTTCCTTCCCTGAGCCTGTTATTTTCAAACGGTTTTTGGCCTGACTTGCTTAGAAAGTACACATCCAGAGTTTATTAAAATAGAAAGAGAAAGCTGAAATGCATTTTAAAGTAAAAGGAAAACTCAGACATGCTAACTGTAAAGGCTTAGTGATTATAAAACCTTTATAGAACCAGATGAAGTGTAAATAAATACGTGAATAAAGAGTTGCTATGAATTAGTGTGAAATTTGACCCCGAGCTTCCTGGCAATCTTTTACAGGAAGTTTTGCAAATAAACAGTGTGGACATGGGGCAAGTAAATAAAAGTGAAAATGGTCTCATTATTTGAAATGATTTGATGGATAAACATTTCACTTTCTGGAAGGTCAGACATTTTGCTTGCCTGACTCTACCTTGAACACAGCTATAAATCGAGAAGTGAGCAAACATGTCTCCTTAGAGGAAGTAGCTGTCACAAAATTCATGAATATTGCTCTGTAGGAGAGGCCCAGGACTAGCCTCTGATTAACTCCCAGGAGATTGGAGGAAAATATGGGGCAGATCAGAAGGTGTGAGAACATGCAATCTCTACTGAAAAGAGATGGCTGTAAGGCAGGGAGCACATGAAAGTTCAGTATTTGGGGCAATTGCCTGTACAGGTAATTAGAGCTACGTACGTAACTGAAACATCTTTGAGATATTGGAATTCTGATGATGCTGCCTTATCGAGAAAAAGTTATGTTCAATATTCTCTATTTAAGAGAGCTGGAAAATATTTAATATATCCTTGAAAGTTTCTAATAGAAATTATTTTAGTTAAACACTTTGTCTGCTTATGTGGATAAATATCCAAAACTTCAGCTCATGGGCATTGTGTTCTTTGCTAAGACCAATGTGATATAGTATGACTGGCTAGGTTGCTGAATATAGTTTAAAATGTATTCTTGTGGCATTCACTAAGTTCTGATAATTATTAAATTTATTTATGATAAATAGTAAAGTTTGTAAAAAATATGGTTTCTAAAAGGAGAGAATATTTTGCCATTAAGATATTTAATTACATATATATTATAATATTTTTGAGTTATAATACACATGTTTAAAATTAAAGGTATACTTCTCACAAAGATCTTTATTATGAACAATGTTGCAGTATATATCACACAATTAAGAAATATGCATGATTGGCTTTATTTGTAAAAACTCTAATGTAAGATTTACATCAAATAAACAGGAAAACCAACAGCCTGCAGATTTTTAAAATTCATCAGTTCACTCTACCCAAAGAGAGAGACAAAAACAAATAGGATTCTTTCCTGTATATCCAATAGGAATCTTACCTTACGTTGGTGAGTGAATTGCTCCCTTTAGCTATTGACGTTTTTGCCCTGAATTTGTTGCTCTTTGGTGATTAAAAGTAAAGATTCCTTTGACAATTGAAGGTGCCTCTTTTATATCCATTCATCAATAGATAATCAGAAAAAAAGTGTGATACTCAAATCCTTCAAAATGTCCTAAATTTCTCATACATTGGTTGACGTTATCTCAATTTTTCAAACATGGAAAAGAAAAATCAATTTAGCATAGAGTTAAAAGGACATTCACCAGCCCTTGAGAAACCAGCCTGTTACGCCATGTTGAATATTTTCATCAGCCCTGACTCTGCAAAATCAGATTACACTAAAGCTAATTTTTGTGGGAGGTGGAGGAAGGGAGGGAATTTTTTCCTGACAATGCAGTTCAGTTTGGTTGGTTCCACAATAATTGGTTTTGGGGCTGAATGAATCTTTTGTTTTTCCTGGTCAGGCTTGAATAACCATTGTATCATATGTTTCCCAAAATATGTTCCTTGGAACTCAGATTTTCCAAACTGCTCCACGAAAAGAGGTTCTGGTCTATACTCAAGAACATTCGCGAAGTACTGTGCAGAGAATACATTATACAGCGTATTTCCCCTTGGCGACTCATACTGTGTTTTAACATACTGAAGGCTACGAGACCCTCTGGAGGTTGATCTAGTGTTTCTTAAACTCCCTACCAGTGTGATGCATTTGAATGTGTATATGCAACAACAGTGAGCATTCTAACTAGTGTGCTCTGGAACACGCTTTGGGAAGTGATGTGTCAGTGTAGTAATTGATGCATTTTCAGAATAATCATACACAGAACAATAAATTCAAGCTGGGCGTCATTTATATCTGCAACTTAAAGTTATTTCTGGAATAGTTTAAAAAATAAGTACATTTCTATTAAGTTAGTTTTAATAAATAAGTAAAAGTAAGTCAAGAAATCCTGACTACTCTCCAAACTCTTTTTCTTTTAGATTATTAAATGCAATGCCAATGAATTGCACTTACATTTATCTTCAGCTGAAATGTCTTAATGAGAAAGAACAATTCATATATTAACATAGTAAGGACAGTCACGCACCTCAGGGCATTCTGACATAATAATGGCTTCTTTCTCTAAGATATGATAAAAACAAACAGATCTCATGCATAAATCTAATAATTTCTTTCGCTTTCCTATAATATGTCTCGAGACAGCTTTATCTTCTCAAGTAATAAATGTTCAATAAATATCACAAAACTCATGATAATGAGAAAGGTATATCATCCAACTCATTTTATATTGAAGATTTGTGGAAGCAAATCAACATGGTAGTCAATTTATGAATGTCATAAATATGGGTTTTTTGAGTAAAAGTAACTCTCTGTGACTGAGAAAGAAGTTACGTCATCTGACAGTTTTTTAACAAGATGTATCTAATATAAAGAGCTGAAATTTACATTTTAAATAACTGAAATTTTACTTTTTCTCTTAAAAACTTTTTTGACTCATTTTGAATTTGAGGGTGAAAGAACCACCCAATGATATTTAAATTCTGGTCTCACAAAAAACATTCTTCATGATTTCATTACGAAGAGATCATGCCACTTCTTTTTTAATACAATGAAAGAGTGAAGAAATTGAAGAAAAAACTGGGTATAATGTAAAATCACAGAAAACTATGCATTTTTAAGTTCTGTGATAATTCAGAGAAAGGTAACCTTTTAAATAAGGTTGAATTAGTTATTAATTCATAGCTTCGTTAATACAAATAAAATTATTTTCTAAGAACAAATTTGTAAACAATCAAAAAACATATGACTAACACTTGGGTTATAATTTCCAATGTTATTATCTGATGACCAGTCTGAGTTTTGTTGGGGAGCATCTTTAGAGACACTAGTCTAGCCTAGTTGGGTAGAAATGTCCACAGAAATACCAAAAAGAGGTTTCAAATCAGTACACATTTCTGAACATCTGTTTTGAACAAGACAGGGTACTAAGAGCTGCAGTAGAAACACATATAATAAAGAAATTCTTGTCCATCAAGGAGACTATTATCTTTTGATTATTTTTTAGCAGATTACGAAATAATAATGATAAGTTTTAGTAGCTTGGAAATATTCTAAGTACAAAACGTAAACATCCCAAATTCTTTTTTCTCGCATAAACTTGCAACAACAAGTCTATAATTACTCATCAGAATGTCTTAACAATGGGAACAATTGTAAAGCATTGTATTCAGTAACATATTTTATTTCATCATTCTATCTACTGTTGGAGGAGGTCATCTAGAGGACGTGACCGCTGGTTGACCTGTGAGCTGGACCTGGGCAACTGGAGAACCCTCACCCCCTCCCCTGTCCTTGGATGTAGGCTCTGCCCACTGTTCCCACAGTGGGAGCTGTTCCAAGGACATGCCTTGAGAGAGTAAGATGTTGATGAGAGCGGCTGGACGGTACCCATGACTAAACCCAGTTAAGGCCTCTATATAAACTTTTCAGATTTTGGTGGGCGGGTGCAGAGATCTATTCGTCTTGCAGCCACCCAAGACAAACCTTGTATGTAAGTTCCCTTTTTTATTAAACCTGCCGCCTCCCAATGTGGGGTGGTCTTTCTCTTTGTTCAGTCTCTTTGCTCTCTGGGTACGGGGACCAATTTCAAGTTTCACCCAGGAAGCTCCCAAGGTTTCGAACCAACATCTACATTTCTATTTATTTTTCTGTGTCTAACTAGAGTCATTGGTAAAGGATACTCAGTAGGTGCCGACATACCTGAAAAAAAGTTCATACCGCTGATATGTCTGATGTGTTACCTAAAGATTGTTTTCAGTATGGCTCCAGGGTTGTTTCTGATCTAAACGTAATACTTGACAAGACAACACCATATATTAAAATAAGTGGTTAATTTAGCGTTGTGAATCTCTGGAGGTAAGATACTGGATCTATGTCTCTTTATATCATGACTGACTTCCCTGGATCCTTAATAAACTAATTTTGGTGATGACCAAAAAGAAGGAGAGATGAAAACAAATAAATGAACAATGACATTTCCTTTTCTTTGGCATTCAAATATTTATTTTGGAAAGCTCCTTACATTTCTCTGCCACTTGTAAGAGTGGACCAGTGACTCTTGCTGTGTTCTGGATGTTACTGATTAAGTTGCCTTGAAAGTCCATTTTGTTTGAGAGATCATTTTGATGGTAGAGGATGTGAGTTAGTTTGTCCCCAGATCTTAACTCCCCTATGATGCTGGCTCATGTTTGTCTTATAGGTGACACCATCATGGAGAACGATAGACATTTGGGCATCTTTAGGAACGCTGCTGCTATCTCTAACATATTTGGGGTGCCTACTGTGCATTCTATACCTCTATTTGGCACATCTCCCAGGATAGCCCATTCATCATCAGTATATTTTGAATTTCTTGTTCCCTTTTCTCCAAAGAGGGCCAGAGCTCTGTAATATGTTGACATCCAAAATACTCTGTGGAAATAATTATTTTTCAAAGACAGATGGGTGGTAATGAGCAAAATTTTATGGTGAGTGCCTCAATAAGTATCTCTTAACTAGAAGACAAATGGAGGAAATTCAGAACTAGGATTCTCTGAATTTCTGAACTCAGTGTTGCTTCTGAATTTTTGGTAAGAGCAGTTAATTTATTCCCATTTCTTAGGGAGATAAAGAGTCTCTGAGAAGTTAATAAAGGGATTATTGGATTGATCAGTCTGCACCAGGTATTACAGAGTCATTGACTAGGATAATGTTCTCCAAAGAACTGAGACATCCTTCTAGCATTATGAGTAATAAGAAGATTCTGGTTTTACCCCAAGTGAAGATGTATAGTTGCAAAGAGTAACCATGAATCCTGATCATTTGGCAGATCAAAGCGGAAAATAAATCTCTTTTGCACTAGAAATAAGCCCACCCTAACCTGTCTCTGACCTCCTCACTATAGAGCCAGTAACAAATAAATTAAAAATAACCAGGGCCAGCCCTAGTGCTCTAGGGGTTAAGTTCGGCATGCTCCACTTTAGCAGCCCAGGTTTGGTTCCTGGGCGTGGACCTACACCACTCGTCTGTCAGCGGCCATGCTGTGGTGGCGGCTCACGTGCAAAAAGAGGAAGATTGGCAATGAATGCTAGATCAGGGTGAATCTTCTTCAGCAAAAACAATAAATAAATAAAATAAAGTAAAAAAAATAGCTGAAGAATCTGTAACATGAAATAAAAAAGAAAGAGGGAGGAGACAAGAAGCTGTGATGGTGATGGATCATGGGGATCAATGGGAAATCACGGAGCAGTGGAAAATGAAGTCTTAATGGGCACAACTGCAAAATGAGGTGAGACTGGAAAAATGATGAGTTAGGGTAGGTGAGTGCATGCAGGTGTTCTGAGTACCATCCTAACATATCTATGAAAACTGAAATAAAGAACCTGTGCCTTTGGAGTGTGTAGTGTGTGTGTCTGTGTGTGTATGGTGATAAGGATCTCTGATTCCAAAGAAGAGGCCTCTCTCTTCCTAAGTGCCATCCATCTAGAGTGGTGGAAAGCATGTTCTATCTGAGTCTCTAGGAGACCAGTATTGGTGTTAAAGTTGTATTTGCGTGGCCTTTGACAAATCACTTAACCTTTGGTTTCCTTATGTACAAAGTGAGAAGTTGGGTTGGATTTGCAAGTTTGCTATGCTCTCTAGTGTTTTATAAGTCTGTGCAAAGTGTCCTTTGACTGTATACTTACTAAATCCTTTCCTACTGAACAATGCCTATTTCTACAAACATTAGAAACCTTGAAATAGTTTATATTTTTATGTCATCGCTGACCAAATGTAAAATAGAAGTCCTTGTTATTAAGTTAAACCTTCTCTGTAGTATAGAAAGCTCACAGTTCAGTACCCATGAATTGAATTGCATATATTTTCTATGTTTTCACTGAGAAACAACAAATATTTGAGAATTGGATCGTGGGTGAAAATTATGGAATAGATGAAGAAAGCAGCATGTAAGTGCCTCAATATTAATATCAAAATATTACCAAAGCAAAGCATTCTATTTTCTCATAATAGTACATAAAACAAAGTAGATGTGCTGTATTTATCAGGAATAAAAATTTAGAAAATGCAAGTAAGATCTATGTTTTAGATGTTAGTTCTAAAATGGTTTCTTCAGCTCTTGCTTATCCCCTTTTGTAGTTCTTACCACTCCCTGCAATGTCCCTGACACAGATATCTTAAATCCTTTGCAAGTCTAATTTTAGTCCCTTTGCATCGCTGAAGGTTGAGGAGGAAGTGAACTGCACACGAATGGCAAAATCCTAGCCACCATTTCCATTTTCCTTTTTCCTTTAAGAAAAATGAGAGCTGTGTCTCTTAGAACCCGGGGAGGGGAGGTGAGAGTGAAGTGAAACTGATAAGGATCCAGATTTCTACTTTATGGTTCAAATGAAGTTCTTGAAGCCAGCCAGTCCTTTGAACACCACTGCTAATTACAGCAGTGTCTGCCGAGAATGTAAGTCTGAGATGCACTGTTTGAATGGGTCTTTTGATACAGCTCTGTGTGGTGGTGAATAACAGAAGGGAGATGGATTTCAGGCTTTAACCAAGCTGTGCGTTCACGTTGACGTTTATAACACTCCGTACGTGTGGCGAAATATTTTCTAGGTTCTCATTGTGGGAATTGCAATTACTTACTTATCTAGGTGTTCTGTCCCCAGTATGGCTCCCTTCAGGGAATGACAAATAGACTGTTGTATTCGTGATGTAATTACATTAGAGAGTCATGGACTTCATTTTGCGACGTGATCTTCATAAAAATAAGGAGGTTATTTTTTAAAATGGTGAGAGAACATCTGTGGTTTAATTGCTGGTATTTCTCTTTTACTTATAACCTAAGAATTTCTCTTGTCCTTTGATCAACTTTCGTTCAGTTAATGAATGTTTCCTTGCATGTGACGCATCACTCCTGGTTTGTTCTTCAGAATGGGCCACGTGCCCTTGTGGATGTCAGTGTGGCAATTCAGAGACCTCCTCACGCTTTTAAAGACTAACTTGATGACAATGATCTCGGGAGTGGGAGAGAGAGCCCACAAGATTGTTTTCCTGAACCTGTTATAATTTCTCTGGAATAGCATGTTGTGGTGGGAGCCTGAAGGAGGAAAATGCCAGCATGAATTAATAAGCTTATCACAGGGCATGGGGAGTTCTTTTACAATGCATGAAGCAAATATGGGAATTTTTTCATTCCTCTTTTGTTTTTCTGGTTGAGCTCAGCGTTCAATCTGGGAACTCCTGCGTGTTTTGTTGTTCCATCTGCTTCTGCTCATTCATTCATTCATCCATTTGTTGGTTCATCCATCCTGGGAGTCCTCTC